GGGGGTGGGCCATCGCGCGAGAGAGCTTTGACATTGGGGATGTAGCTCAACCCTCACGCCGGGTGACAGACTCGCTGGTCGTTCCGCAACGCTTACTTTTTTGCTTCTTTGTTGTGTTCTCATGCAATTGCTCCTTCCAATACGTATGCAGTCCAAGGGTTCTTTGAGTATTTCTCTTCTCTTGTGCGTAGGGTAAGCGTCATCCTTAGGCCACGCACCATTTCCCTAAGCATTGTGGCTATATGGCGTCATCGGGGTGCGGCGGCGCCGTCCTCTTCCTCGCCTCTACGCATCCATCGGGTCTCATAATGTCCCTTAGTCTTTTCGGGGTCCTCATATGCATCCACACACATCATCACAATTTCCTTGGTACGATTACACTCTCATTTACACTCCGAGTCTTCATACTCAAAAGTCATTCCCATGGTTTGACTCTATGTCAAGGGTCCCATAGCCCCTTTGTCCCTCTTCCCTTTCACTCTTGGTGCCCAGTTCCTCTCGCCCCTATCCCGCTCAAGGCATTTCCAGCCATCACTCACCTGCACAATCCCACACAAGCAAGAAGATCCATACAATCCCCCGTTGGGGGGGTCAACACATAGCCCTTCCCACATGTCTATCTTTTCAAATCCTTTAGCTGCTCTTTGTTCCCTCTTGATGCTCAATCAGCCCATTTTCTTCTTATAGTCATGCAGTCGGGGAAATGGTTGAGTCAAACTGACGTCTCTCTTTAGTCTTTCCTCGCGCCTTGTGCATGCCGATCTTTTTGATCATGGGCCTCCGCTCCGAGGCTCCCATAGGTGGCCCCCATGTTGGACCCTCATTTCGTGGCTTTCCGCGGCTTTTGGCTGCCCATCCCTCGACTTCCTCATTCCCTTATTGTCGTCGCGCTGCAATTGCTAGTTCAAAGGGCCTTTTGGCCTTAGTCTTATTGCATTCCGATGACCCTCCTGGTCTCCTGCTATGTTCTATGTGTTTCTGTCCTTGCGCTTGCTTGCTTACCACCGCTAGTTTTTTCCTCCTGTGGTTCTCTCCTCAGGGCATCACTTCCTTCTGCGGCCTGATCCCTTGTCTTTTCTCTCTCCTGCTTCCTCATTCTAGATTTCTCTGTTGTGCACAAATTGTCCGTATTCAATCTTTCGAGTGATGGGAAGTTATTCGGGACCTACCAGTCCCGACACATTCCCCCCACTCATTCGCGATGTCCTCATCGCGCACTAATTTCTTGTTAGTGGATTTTGGAGGGATAGACGGAAGAGGAGGATGAGATGTTATGGGTGGTTAGTTTGCCAGGGTCCATTCCGTTCTTACCCCATTCCTTTCTCAACATTTTCCTTAGGTTGCGGCCCTTGGGGTGGTGGAGGGTATGGGGGAGTCGAAGATTCTACAACTTAGACCAGGTTGCTCATTTCCATCATAACTCTACCTCTTTATCTTTCCCTCAATTGAGATGCAAACTACCTCTTCAGTCAATTCTGTATACCCAACAGGGCAGCCCATAATTCTTTCCAGTTCAGTAATATGAAGTAGACGGGGCTCTCCTTGCTTCATGCACTTAACTACTGGTATGCTGACTTTATTCCCCGGATGACAATTTGTTGTCATAACACAATTGGTTTTCTCATTTTATGCCTTGGCTTTGTTGATAACAAATTGTAGGCAAGTTTTTGGATGTGACTCAATGTCAGCCATTTGCTCCGGAAGGGAGATGTTTGTCCTGTACAACCATCGCCTTTGTTGTGGTGATGCCCTCTTCGAATCGGTGAGCCCAGACACAACTCCCCTTAAGTGCTTCGTAATCTCAAATCCGTCTTCCCATTTCATCGATGAAGCATTCTCGAGCAGAAACCATTTTGGTCTCGCCTCATTCATTACTCTTAAAAAAAATAATCTACTTTTCGGCCCGTGCAATCCATGTTTTCCCTTTACCATTCCCCGACGCTCAGGCCTTGCCAAATCCACATGCATCTCCCCCGGGTCCTTTCGCTCGACTTTTCTCAGGTCCTGCCAATTTTGCATTCATATCACTCTTTGTCCTTTCTTGTTCCTTACTTATTTTTAACTTTTTCATGCATGCTGCTCGGTTCATCCCTTGTGCATCTCTCTTTCAGACACCTTGTCAGACCTGTTTCCAAATACTCATCTGTTTCCCAGCCTGCCAGTCTTTCTCTCAGATCCATACATAGTCCATCATACGAGTCTTTTATTTTCCAGAAGTCTTACTCGGCCCATTTTCAAGCTTATGCCAAATCAATCACACAAGTTGCTTGCCAGACCTTTTCTCAAGCTCATGCAACGTCAATTTCTCACCCGTTTCTGTTCTGGACATCTTGCCAGGCCTTTTCTCAAGCCTCTGCAAAGTCAATTACTCATCCATTCTTCTCTTCTAGACATCTTGCGAGACTTTTTCTCAAGCCTGCGCAAAGTCAATTACTCGTTCATTCTTTTCTTCTTGACATTTTGCCAGGCCTTTTCTCAAGCCTGCACAAAGTGAATTACT